CACCAGAGTTTGCCGGTTTGCATGAAACAAATTATGGCGGGTAAACGTCTGAGTGCAGTTTTTGTTCCTTCAAAATATTGTTTACCATCAAATGGAAGAAAAATCGTCAAATAGATTAACGGCAGCTATACAGAGGATTGTCGTTTGACAAATATAGATTACAGCAATTATCAGCTCATGCTTGTGACGGCGAAGGAGGTTTTGTCGAAGCCATTTCTTTCCCGGCTAAAAAAAAAAACTGCCTCACTGTCTCACTCATAAGCTCTAGGTGTGTTGTTTTTGTCGGGAGACAGTGCTTCCGGTTTTTTAATTTACCTGCTCATTTCCGGAAATGTAGTGTCGCGCAACTAATAAGGGGGTGTTTTGCAATTCAACAGCCTCTTCGGGCAGGCGTCCTCTCTCTCTTCCCCCGCCCCTACCCCCACCGTCCACTCTAACTCCAAATCAAATATGGCCGGTCGGATAAACGGCGAGCTTAAAACGTTAGTTTACCTTAAGAAGACACCTGCACTGCGGGCCAAACATTAAAGGAAAGTTAAAAACTTTTTTTCGATAACCTTTTTTCCTAAGGAATCACCTTAAAAGATGAGTATCAAGTAACATGAGTTGAGGTAAACCAGAGACTTATTCTAGTTTCCCGAATCCCGCCAGTTGCATCCCTTATCCCGTTACCATGGCGAAACTTTGAACATCTGATTGCCACGGTTTTACACTGCAACCTCTTCAAGAGAAACACAGAAGATTTTCTAGGTTTTTTCCCCGAGCCAAATTTTATTTTTGTTTATTTGGAATGGCTACATAGCTGATAATCAGTTGCAAATATGATTTCCTTTAAGAAAAACTCAACGTTGAGCAAATCCAAAACAAAAAAAGGCACCGTGTGAATGCAAATGCCCGACCAGTCCAAATTACTTACGATCTCTCAAGCAACTGACCAAAGAAAGGGTTTCTGTTAAAGGATCATAGTCAACCACAAGACACTGCGCGCTTAGTCCGCCATTTCCTATGCCATCTAAATTCGAGAAAATTCCTTTGTGGTCTTTCATTCAAGTGCATCCGAGCAATTTAAATATATTATGAGGTCTGAAATTGTCGTGTAAGCCTTCTGAAATTATCAGTGGTTTATTCTGAGTAGTTGTGTGGTGGTTTCTCGCATTATTCTTGACAAGTTTTTGTTTGTAACTGGAACCATCAATGGTATCTCGCGTTCCTTCACGTGGATGGCGTAAACCCACGGAGCAGGCGAAAAATTTCAATCCGTGAAAAGATAGGAGGGATAGTCCAAGCATCAGAGGTCTAACCAATAGCCAATTTGCAGAGATTTTTCTGCATCAAAGCGTCGACAAACTTCGCGCAGTGTGCATATCACAAGAGGTAAGTGATCATTTAAAACCTGAATTATTGACGAGCCTACATGACACTCCTGCCATTCGCAAACGATTTTAAAATTCTGTCTTCATACATTAGATCTGACCATGATATATTTTGATGATTATTTTTTTCCGATGTAATTTTGAATAAGGTGTCATTTCCCCATCAGTATGTTCTTGAGTTTAGGTAAAGCCGGGTGATATTGAATTACAAAAGGCAAAATTTTCTTCTTCATGATGTTTCCTTTGTTCTTTAAGTGTAAGTGTATTTCTCCAGAACTTCGTCAGGTATCCTCAATCCCCTTATTTAGCCGTCTTTTAAGCTCTTTAAGTTTCTCAACAAATGTGGAGCGCGTCCGATTTGTTTTTAGGATGCGTAACGTTTCTCCTTTATTTACGCCTCGTAAAAAGTGTTTACGGGCCGGCACGACTCCTGCCAGGCATTGACTTAATATGAACGAATTTCTCCGCAGTTGCCCGTATGTCAACAAAGAAAAAGAGGAGTGGTTGACAAGGATCCTTTAAGATGCTACATCAAATTCTTTCCTCAAATATTGAAGGTTTTGTCAGCTAAGCCTTACAAAAGCCTTTGAAAAAAATCAAACCAGATTCTTGTGGTTCGTTTTATACCTGAAGTACTGTTTTAACTTTATCGCTTTCGCTCTACTTTAAAGCCTTACATACGTCAACATTGTTTTGTGCTTATTATTAGAGCAATTAAAAACGCGCCGAGTGCATTGTTGAGTTACATAAGCGCGCAGGAATTTTTAAGAACACGAGCGAAGTGTGGAGAAGCACGAGCCGAGGGCGAGTGCTTCTCGCTTTTCTGAAGTGTTCTTAAAAATTCCTGCGTGCTTATTTAACTAAACAATGCACTCGGCGCGTTTTTTATTTCTTTTATAAAATGTATTATAGCATAGCTATTAAATTTGTCTAACCAAATTCAATTGCGCAATTGTGCTCCATGTTCCTATCGCGCGCGATCATGACATCAGCAAACAAATCCCTCGAGAAAAAAAATTTCCATCGGGTTGAAAATTTTATAAAACAATTGGTTCATACGTCAGCTGTGCGTTCATCGAGATATGAAGCACTTGGGAAGTTTGGAGCACGAAAGATGCGTAAGAGGCGTAGCCTCGAGCAACTCGTACGCATCTTTCGTGCTCCCCAAACTTCCCAAGTGCTTCATATCTCGATGAACGCACGCTGATGTATGAACCAATTGTTAATTATAACATAGAGCGTGTGCTTACCCTATCTAAGTCCTAGTGAGCCGCTATGAACAAAATCTTTTTATAAAATAAATCAAATAGTACGCGCGCTCTGATTGGCCATAAAATAATTTTGCATGAGCGCATGTAAACACGGTTTTCGTTCCTCTCTCATTAGTTATTTTATAAAAGAAATGTAAAATTGTTTCCGTGTTTACATAGCCTGATGTAAACACGCGGGAGGTTGGGAGAACACGAGATAAGCGTAGGAAACCACGACGCGAAGTGGAGTGGTTTCCAGCTTATCGAGTGTTCTCCCGGTTACCAGTCACCTCGCCACCAAGCAGACTCGCCACCAGCGAACTCGCCACCAAGGAACGATCTCGCCACCAACGTACTCGCCACCAAGTGAAGTCTTCTCGCCACCAACCACCAATAAAGAGATAAACTAGAATAAAGTAGTCGAGGAGAGTAGGATGTTCGAACGAGCACAATTCAAATCGGCCGATACGTTTGTGCGCTTGTCTGTATTAAATTATGACCTTCAGCGACGTGTTAGATGTGTTCCGTTCCTAACTCATTGACATCGAAACGTATCGTGTTTGTCTTTTGCACGTAAGCGAGGAGAAATTACAAAACTCGATGCGAGGAATAAAAACTTACTTGAGAGAAAATGAAACTTCATGGGAAGAAATAAGTGATGAAATGAAAATCGATAGCAGTTGTATTAAAACTAAAATTATCGGTTTCGAACGTGCTTTCGACAACATACGTTTATAAAGTTTGAGTACAGACAAGCGAACAAACTTATCGGTTTCGAACGTGCTTTCGACAACATACGTTTATAAAGTTTGAGTACAGACTTATCAGCCGAACATCCTACTGTCCTCGACTAATCTCTTTATTGGTGGTTGGTGGCGAGAAGACTTCACTTGGTGGCGAGTACGTTGGTGGCGAGATCGTTCCTTGGTGGCGAGTTCGCTGGTGGCGAGTCTGCTTGGTGGCGAGGTGACTGGATACCGCAGATTATGATTGCTCACGTCATCTTATTTAACTTGGGAGGTTGGGAGAACGGTATCCAGTCACCTCGCCACCAAGCAGACTCGCCACCAAGGAACGATCTCGCCACCAACGTACTCGCCACCAAGTGAAGTCTTCTCGCCACCAACCACCAATAAAGAGATTAGTTGAGGACAGTAGGATGTTCGGCTGTTCCTTGGTGGCGAGTTCGCTGGTGGCGAGTCTGCTTGGTGGCGAGGTGACCGGTAACCAGCAGACTCGCCACCAGCGAACTCGCCACCAAGGAACGATCTCACCACCAACGTACTCGCCACCAAGTGAAGTCTTCTCGCCACCAACCACCAATAAAGAGATTAGTCGAGGACAGTAGGATGTTCGGCTGTTCCTTGGTGGCGAGTTCGCTGGTGGCGAGTCTGCTTGGTGGCGAGGTGACCGGTAACCTAATCTGCAGCCATAACTGTTCGTCAAAATAAAAGTGTAGTGGTTGCCCAATCTGTCTTTTCCAATTGCACCGTGCACGGCAGCGTAAACATTATTTTGAACAATCAAAACCCTGGGTAACTTCGGATCTTTGACTTTTAAAACATTTTTTAGTGTCACTTGAGTTCATTTAGCTTTGATTTTCTCCATTTTCCCTGTAGATTTTGTGCTTTTCATTCACTGTTATCGGTTAACTGGCTCAAGAGTTCTCGCTTAAACCAAAGTATAAAATGTGGCGTGTTTTTGACCAGCCAATAGGGACGTTTGTTTACTTTTTTGTGCGTTGTGAGAATTTTGCTCTCTATCACAATAAAAGGCTTCTTCGCGCAGATCCTTGTTGTCGCCCTGATATAAAAGAATTTGCTCATGCTTTTAGCTGTGCGTATATCGAGTTATGGATGCACTTGGGAAGTTTGGAGAGCACTCAAAAAGCTAGACTTGCTGCTGCGCCTCGAGCTACTCTTACGCATTTTTTGTGCTCTCCAAACTTCCTGCGTGCATCCATAACTCGATATACGCACGCTAAGAATGAACAAATTCTTCAATCGTAAATTGCGCGCGCTCGTACCGATGACGTAGACTGCGTGATTGTATCTCAACAGTGCACTCATGTGACGTAAGGCGCGTGCTTTATGGAAATATAATGAGCTCGTTTTGACCAATCACGGCGCGCTCTGATCATTTAATAATGAAAAAGAAAGCACCAAAATTGAACTAGACCTTCCCTTATTATGTATATAATTTTTACTTAACATATGCAGAAATATACATAGTTGATCTTATTAAGTTTTCATTGTATTATAACTCGTTAATTCAGTAAGTTACTGCAAAAGAGTTTAATAAACTGTTGTTATTATTATTATTTGGGATAGATCTTTTTTATAATTTCGAAAAAATACCGGATAGAGTATTTTCTCTTCTTGTTTCTATTTAATTTATCCATCTAAAAGTCTTTTAGCTCTGTTTCCTTCGATTGATTCTCATTATTAACTCTGTCGGGGTCTCTTTTTCTGTAAAAAAGTAAAAAGCAACAATTTTTTAAAAAAATTAAATTAAAAGTTTGGATATGGAAAAAATGCTATTTTACCAAGCTCAATATGTAAAAATATAAATGGCACTTGTATGTGATTGGCAGAAAGGCCCTTTCGAGATTCTATATTTACACCAGAGAGCGTCGATAGTAACTCTCCGAAAAGAAAAAAGAAAAAAAATATATATATATATATGCATATAGATGTATTGGACTAGCCTTGATGTTAAAAACCCAATTTTCACCCTTGATGCAACGCGCGCCTCGACCCAATTTCCTGTAACAAGAAATTCCCAGATTACTGTAAACCTTCCAAAGTCGTCTGTCTCAAGAGCCATCCTGGACATATAGTCAACTGTTTTATAGTAAATGAATTTGCTTTTCGTCATTTTACAGTTTCCTGACAGTATTTTGAATTTTTTCCGGTAGAATCCGAAGAAAATTTTTTTAATAGTTACTATCGGATCGGATCTCTTCGTACTTTGTGAACAGAGTCGGCGAAAAGGACAACGTTCGAATTTTTTAACTTTCTAGAAGCGCTTTAGGATTCTTAATAAAGATAAAATAATTCCCAATAGAAATCGGTATTTTTTAAAGAGAAATATGGAAAAATGTCAGACTGCCGTACGTTTAGTTATTCGAAGACCGTGTCCGGTGAAAATTTCCTACGTGTCACGCTTGGACCTCTTCGTACTCTGTGTACAGGGTCGGCGAAACGGACAACGTTCGAATTTTTCCACTTTCTAAAAGCGCTTGAGGATTGTAAATGAAGTTAGAATATTTTCTAAGGAAAATTAGTATATTTCAAAGAGAAATATGGAGTTATTTGAGGACCGTGTCCAGCCGTGTCATTGAAAAGTTTCTGTGTCAAGCGCTTGGGTGGTTTCGTACTCTGTATACAGGGTTAGCGGGAAACATCAAGTTCTAAATTTTAGGCTGCCTGGAAGCGCTTGAAGATTGTAAATAGAGGCAGAAAATTTTCGTATAAATCTTTTTGGATTTCGAAGAGAAATAAGGAAAAACATCGGACTGCCTGACGTTCAATTATTGACGTGTCCAGCTGCCGGACGTTTAGTCACTTCATTGCAGGAACGTCAGCGACACTGACAGTTTGCATAACAATTCTTATTTGCTGCTTTGCATGGACAACAACCTCGATCACTCTTTCGAGCACAAGCTCCTCTCCATGCGCAGGAAACTTCAACTGACCCTTGTTCCTATTTAACAAGGATGGCAAACTTCAATGAAAAAAATTGATGTATGAATGAAAGCATGATGGATCAACATTTCACCTTCCTCGGAATGCTCGCAAGGATTTTCGTGTTCCTCTTTAGCAACAACCGATCCATAAGCGTTTACTACCTCGGAATCTACTAAATCAATGGATTAATCTGATTCTATACCGGATTAAAACGTATAGAACTGTTTTAAACATAATTATTTTGACAAGCTCACTAAACTCATCGGAGAAATCGCAGAAACTTTTTCGAGACAACCTGACAATGTTGTAATAACTGACCCCTTTAGAGGCGCTATTTAAACAAAAGCGGTGGTTCTAAACAAAAACAAACGACCGCGTTGCGCCAAGGTTGGAAATGGTTAAGGTAACAAAGGATCTCAGCCGACGGTCAGCGACCGCTAAACCAAAGCCACCTTCACACCTAACTTAATTAATTTGTGAAATATCTTTTCGGACTGAGTCTCACCTGCGCGCGCCAAACTCAAACCTCACGTCATCTCCAATCAGCGTGAATGAAGCCCACTCAGACACTTTGGTAAGACCGTTTTTTCTCATCCACTTCATGGCCTGATGAAGGGATTCACTGGCACTTTCCCCCTCGACAAGGTGTTCGTAAAACCGACTCATCAGCTGCTCTGTTGCTGAGTCTGAAATGGCCCACAGCGCAACCAACACAGAGCGAGCACCGGATCCTAAGAACGCACGGGCAATTCCTATAATTCCCTCGGCTCTTATCTGACCACGTCCACTGTGACAGCAGCTAAGGACCACCAGTTTAGCTCTGACTTTCACTCGTGAGACATCAGCCATAGTCAACATGTACGCTTCCTGAGGTAGGTTAGCGTTACGACTGTTGGAAGTAGGAATGGGGGAGAGGGCAATTTCTCCCCTTTCGGCGTTACCATGGGCAGCAAAATGAATCAGGCCCACTGAACATATTCGCTCAAGTACCGCCTGCTTCGTTGCTTCCTCTTCTACCAGAGGCGGAACACCCACCAGTCTTCCGACCATCTCTGCTTCCTTTCTTGCACCTGGTAATGACGGCAGCCAATCGACCTTAGGGTTGCCTATTATCAAGGCACCAGTGTTGCTGTGATAGTCCTCTGGACTATCTTGAATAATCTTGAGTGTTGTCAAAGAGGGAATGACACGGATCCTATGAGTCTCCGACAGGTATTGGGCTCCCTCCTTTTCACTCAGTGCAGCAAAGGGAACTTTGTACAAACTGCGATCAGGAACGATGATGACTTCAGGTTCCTCAAGTAAATCATTATATACGGGAGCAATAAACATTTTGTAGCACAAGGGTAGACTTTGTGATAGACGAAGATAGATCATATCCTCGTCCTCATCCTCGTCCTCCTCCACGAGTCGCAGTCTTGCTGAGCTCTTTTTTGCGGGGGAGAGAGGTTGTAATTTAACCAAATTTAAAGACCGATCTTCACAATCATTGGTGGGCAAAATACCAAGACTCCGGAAATTGTGATCCAAAAATTTACTCAAAGACAAATCTTTGGGCAACCCAGCCTGAACTAGATTCTCTTCTAGTGATATCCTTCTATAGTGACGGACTCCACTTGTTTTAAAGATCCACAAATGCAGATGATTGTAAAAATAAGAAATGTACAGACAAGTAAAGTTATTTTTCTCTCCAAAAATGTTCTCAATCCCAAACCAAGATTGTGGATTAGCAGAGATGTGCGTTTCAACCGAGTACTTCTCTGCCATTAAGTCTGATAGGCCTCTAGCTCGACCCAACTCCTCAACACAAAGTGCATCCCGAGCATTTCCGGTGTCACAAAGCAAACTACAAAGCAGTTTGTAGGGAAATATTCCTGATTCCTCCAGAAATGATGTTTTGAACTGATCATTGGCGCCCAAGAAATATCTCAGCTTCTCATACTTTTCAATGCACAGATGAAGACACGAAAGGGAATCTTTGTTTTTATTTTGCAATAAATACAAAATGGCGTAACTTTGAAGGATTTCGAACTCTTTTTTTCTATCTCCAATATCTCTGGATATGGATAAAGCTTTCTCCAAGAATACTTCCGAAACTTCATAATCTCCAACAGTTCTAGACACAGTTCCGAGGTTTGCAAGATCTGCTGCTTCCCCTTCCTTATCACCAATTTCAGTTCTGATGACAAGAGCTTTTTGGAGATATTCTTTAGCCTTGTCGTAATGCCCAAGCGGCAAAAACACAGTACCTAGGCTTCCATAACACGATGCTTCCCCTTTTCTGTCGCCAATTTCAGTTCTGATGACAAGCGCCCTCCGGAGAAACTCTTCAGCCTTGTCGTATTGCTTGAGCGACAGAAACACAGTACCGAGGTTTGCGTAGCCAGATGCCTCTCCTTTTCTGTCGCCAATTTCAGTTGTGATGGCAAGCGCTTTTTGGTGATACTCTTTAGCCTTGTCGTATTGGCCTAGCGACAGAAACATTGTACCCAGGTTTCCGTAGCCAGTTCCTTCTCCATTTCTGTCGCCAATTTCAGTACTGATTACAAGCGCTTTTTGGAGATACTCTTTAGCCTCGTCATATTGCCCGAGTGACTTAAACACAGTACCTAGTTTTCCATAACATGATGCTTCCCCTTTTCTGTCACCAGTTTCAGTTGTGATGACAAGCGCTTTTTGGAGATACTCTTTAGCCTTGTCATATTGCCCGAGCGATTTAAATACAGTACCTAGTTTTCCATAACATGATGCTTCCCCTTTTCTGTCACCAATTTCAGTTGTGATGACAAGTGCTTTCTGGAGATAATCTTTAGCCTTGTCGTATTGGCTGAGCCTCAGAAACACAGGACCTAGGTTTCTACAACATGATGCTTCCCCACTTCTGTCGCCAGTTTCAGTTCTGATAACAAGCGCTTTCTGGAGATACTCTTTAGCTTTGTCGTATTGCCTGAGCGACAAAAACACAGTACCTAGGTTTCCGTAGTCAGCTGCCTCTCCTTCTCTGTCGCCAATTTCAGTTCTAATGGCAACCCCTTTTTGGAGATACTCTTTAGCCTTATCGTATTGGCCGAGCGACTTACACAAATTACTTAGGTTTCCGTAATCAGTTGCTTCTCCTTTTCTATCGCCAATTTTAGTTCGGATGACCAGCGCTTTCTGGAGATACTCTTTAGCCTTGTCATATTGCCAGAGCGACAGAAACACTGTACTTAGGCTTCCATAACATGATGCTTTCCCTTTCCTGTCGCCAATTTCAGTTGTGATGGCAAGCGCTTTCTGGAGATACTCTTTAGCTTTGTCGTATTGCCTGAGCGACAAAAACACAGTACCTAGGTTTTCGTAGTCAGTTGCTTCTCCTTTTCTATCGCCAATTTTAGTTCGGATGACCAGCGCTTTCTGGAGATACTCTTTAGCCTTGTCATATTGCCCGAGCGACAGAAACACTGTACTTAGGCTTCCATAACATGATGCTTTCCCTTTCCTGTCGCCAATTTCAGTTCTAATGGCAAGCGCTTTTTGGAGATACTCTTTAGCCTTGTCGTATTGGCCGAGCGTCTCGCACAAAAAACCTAGGTTTCCGTAATCAGCTGCTTCTCCTTTTCTATCGCCAATTTCAGTTCTGATGACAAGCGCTTTTTGGAGATACTCTTTAGCCTTGTCATATTGCCCGAGCGACCAAACCACTGTACTTAGATTTCCATAACATGATGCTTTCCCTTTCCTGTCGCCAATTTCAGTTGTGATGACAAGTGCTTTCTGGAGATACTCTTTAGCCTTGTCGTATTGCCTGAGCGTCTCACACAAATAACCTAGGTTTCCGTAATTAGTTGCTTCTCCTTTTCTGTCGCCAATTTTAGTTCTAATGACAAGCTCTTTCTGGAGATACTCTTTAGCCTTGTCGTATTGCCCGAGCAACACAAACATTGTACCCAAGTTTCCGTAGTCAGATGCTTCTCCTTTTCTGTCGCCAATTTCAGTTCTGATGACAAGCGCTTTTTGGAGATACTCTTCAGCCTTGTCGTATTGGCCGAGCGACAAAAACGCAGTACCAAGGTTTCCGTAGTCAGCTGCCTCTCCTTCTCTGTCACCAATTTCAGTTCTGATGGCAAGCGCTTTTTGGAGATACTCTTTAGCCTTGTCGTATTGGCCGAGCGAGAGAAACACAGTACCTTGGTTTCCGTAGTCATTTGCTTCTCCTTTTCTATCGCCAATCTCAGTTCTGATGACAAGCGCTTTTTGGAGATACTCCTTAGCCTTATCGCATTCCCCGAGCGACTGAAGCAACGCTCCAAGGTTTCCGTAACAGGATGCTTCTCCGCTTCTGTCGCCAATTTCGGTTGTAATGGCTAGGGCTCTCTCAACATACTCTTTCGCTTTTTGGTTTTCGCCAAGGTTATGAAGCATAATTCCAGACTCGCTGTATAAGACAAACAGTTTCCTGCCGTATCTTTCCGCACTTATGTAGTCAGAGATATGACGATAAGCGCTGAAAAGAACTGTGTAGATGTCGCTGTAAAATTGTAGCGATACTGAATCAAATTGGTCTTTGCTGTTTTGATCGGTTCTATTTAGCAAAATCAAACATTCGCTGCATATCTCAATGGCTTTCTGAATGCGATCTGAGTTGAGCAAAAACAGGGCAACAAGTAAGGCGATGCTTATGAAAGCTATCATGGCTTCTGCTGTTAGGTTTCCATTTCCATCCTGTTATCAGGGAACATTATTTTCAGTAACAAAACTAAAAATACTACACGAGTCGATAATCTAGATTCATAATGAGTCACTACAAACAAACTGTACTGAAAGTGTTAGAATTCACAATATCGACTTAAAACAAAATTAAAAATACGCGAAGAAGAGGCGTATATAAGTACAACTGGAGCACATCAACGGATCACATTCGGTGAAACTTGTAAAAATTAATTTGACATGTACAGTTTTTTCGAAACGGACTGTGTGACTGTCACGCTGTCAAAGTCAACTGTTTTCTAAGTGATTTTTGATCCAGCTGTTTCGTTTGTTCATCTTATCAAGTAAAAAAAATGACGCATGCTTGAGTTTGATTAATGGTCGTGTGTCGGGGGGTCTCGCCATCAATCGGGGGGCTTTAAAAGGTCGCGGGTTTCTTAAAAAAAACAAGAAGAATTGATAAACCTTTACCTACAACGTTGTGAGAACATTTGAAAACGTTGTCCTATCAGTTTATCACCAAGTAATGAGCTTATCTATCTGAAGTATATGGCTGAAAACGAATCCTTATGTAACTGATGAGGATGATTTTCAAGATCTGAGGTCACCATGGTTTGAAAAACGGTTTGTCACCTTTCATTTTACTCAAATAGTGATTTTTGCGCAACATGACAAATCACAGGACATAGATAAAACAAAACAGCATTTATCTTGATTTTTGCCATGAGAACGTTAGCCATTTATTGCATTTGATAATCAACATGTTGTATCAAATTCCGTAAAGAAACTAGCAAAGAGTGGTCTGCAGTATCAACATATCAAACTCACTGTTAACAAAAGCCTATCGAACGGAAAACAGAATTATTTTAATGTCTGGATCTTTTGAAAAAAGGTCTCCTAAACGAGTGGCCCTGATTATAAATATTCAAGCACGGTAAACACATTAGCCTTAACTTGGCCGTTTCTCGAAGCTCAGTGTTTTTCACGTGAAGCGAGGCGATTAAATATATATAATAATCACTAAAAGAACTACAGCTGATGGAAATTTTAAATTTCTTATCTAAAGGCTGTGGATACAAACTTATTAATGACTTTAAAAATATAAAAATCTAGAACGAATTTTTTTTTGCGTTGCTCAGCTTTTCATTTTTCCGGAATCGAAAGTCGAGATTGCAAAATTCAAGTGAAAAGCAAACCAACTGTGATTAATGCCTTAAACAAGTCAAGATACTTTTTTTTGTCATAAAACAAGTTACATATCGTAAATATCATTCTTTTTGATGCCTTTACTTGTGTCACCGATGCTTTCCCGATGCTTTCGTTGGTTAATATAGCAGTAAAAATATTGTTCCAGTCAAAACGTGTGGAAAATTGCTTAAATTTTTGAGTAGCGAAGTATAACCTGGTAACATTTTGGCTTTACAACACGATTCTTTTTGCAAGTTACAAAACGTAAATATAATTCTTCTTGGTGCTTTTCCGAATGCCACCAATGCCTTTTCCGATGCCTCCATTGTTTAATACAGCAGTAAAAGATATATGTGTCATCAACACTTTTGAAAAATCGCTAAATATTTTAATTAGCGAAGTATACTGTTAATATTTCTGCTTTACAACACCTTTTGTTTTCTGTAACAACAATTGATATGTCTCTATATGAATTATTAAATTTGTTTCCCCGCTGACAAGTCGTATTTTGGTCTATTCTTCTTCCTCCGCTCGTCGCCCGTGATATAGTACTCCCCAATTTTACCGCCACATTCCAATGGAGCGAGACATTTCCTTTATTTTGGTATCTAATTCGTCTAGTTTGCGACCGATTTAGATAGGTCAAATGGCCGCTCAAGTTGGAGCACTCTCACTGGTTTTACTTCTGTGGATCCGTAAAAGCCGCGGGAGAAAGATCAGAGGGCCACTCGTTACCTTCGTTTACATGCATTATTAACAAGTCAGTAGTATCATAAATAAATTGAGCGATTTGATTTTTCCCTTTGTTCTCAGAGATACGGAATTTCATATAATACTAAAATTTTGTTGCTAGCAAGTCTCGAATAGGTCTGATACCGGTTGTGTTTATCAATTTTTTAGCTATCTTCTCTACACAATTGTTAAGGAGAATGGAGAAGGAAGTGGCGAATCTACCTTCGCTGCAGTTGTGGAGAAAATCTTGCAACAAACGGGTATTAGAGGCATCATCGTCTACAATCGAATAACAAATGCCTTAAGGAAAAAGATTGGGACCATGTGTGCTGAGCTAAAGCGAGCAAAGAACAAAAGTGGAGGTTTCGGTGTCATGAGGCCCACTGACAAATGGCGCAACCAAACTTATTCTGTCAAGTTATTTTATCACGAGCTTAATAATTACTTTATTGAAAAGGAAAATCAAGAGCGCTAAAAGAATCTTTGGAGAATGAAATTACCAAGCGACAGAAACTTGAGTAAAAGCTCGACGACACAGAGAGAAGCTGCAAGTATCACATAAAAAGATTCCAAAGATTCCAAGGATTCCAACGTAGTGAATTTCGACTCGCTTTGTGACCTGGTCTACGGCTGTCACAACGACAGGATAAAGTTAATAGTCGTTGGTTTTTGTTCTTGTCTTCATCTGAATAAAAGTCCGGTTGAAAAGACCTCGTCGGAGTATCGTTTTGGGATACTTTCCCTTACAGCCGTCATTGTTACAAATGTAAATTATCATTAATGCGATTGATACTCTAATGCGCAAGCGCAGTAGGGAAAGCGTTGTCCGCGCCAGCCTGGATGCCAATTCGAGCAAATGTTCGCGCCTATGGAATCCATCTGCATTTCTATCGACCGTCTGAACGTATTTACAATAAAGCCTGTTGGGTTTAAGCTCAATGCACTTGCGTTTTAAGCGTTTCAATTCTTAGGCTAACAGGGGAGGTAACCTTTACCATGACTGCATGGAAGATTTCACGACATTCTGCAATATGGCATGGAACATTTGAAAATATTGTTGTAGCAAGCTATTACCAAGTAACGAGCTTACTTAGCAGATGAATGTCACTGAAAACGAATCTATCCTTAGCTAATGAGAATGATGAACAAGATGTGAAGCCACAGAGGTTTGACGAACTCCGGCTTTGGGACGAATTCATTTCATCCGGCGGCGATTTTTGCACAACTTAACATGACTTAATAGTCACAGGACAGGACAAGACTAAAAAAGTATTTTGTTACACGGAAGAGATCAAAAACTTTCAAAACATCTTGACTAATTTTAGAACCACACAATACGATTCTGCACGTTTTTCCTTATTTAGAATACGGACAAATGTTTTGGTTAAATTTTTTTTTCAGTAATCTAATTCACAAAAGTGTGTCTCATAACGTGACTGAAGCAAAAAGATTGTAATCCTCTTTTTCCCACTTTTATGCAGGCATGTACCATGAGTTAGTTAAATAGGACCTGAAAAATCTCTAGATTTTTAACAAAAGACGTTTGGGTTTATTGTGTAGCCTAACGAAGCAATTGACCGAATTAATGGTAGAGGTTCGAAGCCTACATCTATCTGAAAAGTAAGCGTTCTGGTCAATAACACTATGACAAGATTATAGGAAATCAGTCAAGTAACGTTCTGTTCCTCACAGAACATACATTATCTTTCTTCGTGAGCTCTCAGTGTCATAGGCTGAATTATCTTCTTACGCAAGACTTTGGCGCTTTCACAATTAGTAAACGAGGTCAATTTAATAACTAATGATTCGAAAACCACGAGCTCTTACACCGCGATTATCCTATGACATCAGAAATGGAGTAAATAGATTTGCTTTTTTAAAACAAATTAATAGCGTAATTGTCAAAACTATCAGTTTCTGCAATTTCGATTGTACACAACGTGATCTGCAAACATTCATAAGGCTTTCCCATTAGAGCCTTACTTCCTTAGAGTGACTAAATAACAGTACTATAGGTGATAAAACCCGAGTACCTATAAAAGTTCTTTAATCGTAATTACCAAGAGTTCACTATGTAGGTAATGCTTTTGAAACAAAAAAATTGAGTATTCCCAACATTCCGAAACCTACGCTGTCACAGATTTTTTGGGTATCCCTATGTTTTGGGTATCCAGGTCACTTCTGTTTTGGGTATCCTCTCTTGGCTAATACTTCGAAAGTAAAACGGCAAAAATAATGAGAGTCGGGACTTTTCCCAACATTCCAAACTGTTCAGTCAGCCAGCCAACCCTTACCGTAACTTTTTTTAAGTAATGGATTGAAACACAAACTTTTCAAACACCGTGAGGGCATGCTAAGATATTAAAACCATTCACTATGATTCTGTTCGTTTATCATCTTTTAAAATAAACGAAAACTTTTTTGTTGGCATTTCAGTCTTGATTAAAATAACACTTGAGAAGTTTGTCTGATAACGTGAGGGAACTAATAGAAATTGTAATTCCCTCGTATTCTATTTGTGGTGGCATTTAACCATGAATTAGTCAGAAATAGAACGAAAAAATCTTAAGAGATTTATTTTGGATTTATCGTATGGCGTTCAAATCAAAGTAAGTGCAGTGATCATAACATGTCTGGTTACATTATTGATTATAACCATTACAATTTCCTCAAATGTGATAGGTGCATTATGTGCGTTATTTTTCACTAATCATTCTGTACAGTTGTAATCGGACAGTGTAATCGTACAGTTGGCTGTAACCGGACACCTGTAATCCGACAATTGAAGCAGCATCATACCAAGTCCGCTCAGCTAACAAGCTGATCATAGCAACAACCACTTATCCTGAAAAAAGAAAACTGCGGGAATTCAAAAAATGGAGTAACTTTTTACTTTACACATTGTCTCTACCTGAGATGTTCGTTCGAAATGTATTTGTTTTTTTCGGAAATTTTTAATCACTCGTATGATTACAAACCGAGTTGGATTCCACTCGGCCCAATTACCATAATCAAGTATAAAAATTGCAATTTCTTCGATTGTGATTGGTTTTAAAAAAATTCTCATGTTCCACTAATTCACTTGCCAAATTGTT